TCCACCTTTGCATTATTGAAGGGAAGAGCTTCATCCCGTAAGGTGAGAATGGAAACCACGAAGCACAGGATAGGAATGCTAAGAAGTGTCCCAAGAATCTGCATGTCAGTCTCTGGGATTCTGCAGCCTAATCTGAATTATTTTACATATCTGAAATGAATGATTTTTTACTCCACCATGCTAAGGAGATGACTTTTAAAACTCAGAGGAGAACCAGTCATGGCGGCCCAGTGCCTGCAATTCTAGTACTTGAGAAGCTGGGGCAGGAAGACTGAGGATCAAGGGTTCAAGGTCAACCCCCATTATGTAGTAATACAAAGGGAACATGTCTCAAAACACCAACCAACCCTTGGAAAGAAAAGTCACACTAGGCAGTGAGATATGTGGACATCCTGTAGAGATGAGGTAACAAGGACTTGAGAGTGATATTGATAGTGGTGTATGTAGAGAAGAATGCCCAGTGCCAGACTGGTACACATGGAGCGTGAGGGCACGGATGGTCAGCCAGACCTCATGGGGAAGTGGGTTGTCTCCTCTGTCCTGGATTCCTTCCATCCATGGAAGTTTCCTTTCCCTTCCAGATGCCGGGCTTCCATCTAGACCTGCAAGTTATCATGTATGAAGGTGCCCAGCTGACCTAAGGTATACCAAATGAACAGTCACAATAAATGGACAGGCTTGGGCCATCCTGGAGGGGGCTGTTGCCTTCTGGAGTTTCAAAGAAATGGTCCTTTTTGCCTAGTCCCTCCCCTGGGTTTTTTTTTTTTTTTTCAGATGTCCCTGGAGCCTTCCAAAGCCCAAAGGCTGAGCTTGAATGTGTGGTTTAGCATTTCTCTAAGTAATATTTCTCACTAAAACCTCAGACCAGGAGTGTGATAGAACAAAGTTAACATGCCTTCAAACTGAGCACCTGTCTCCAGCCCGCTTCATGGGCCAGTGCTTTAGACAGAGACATCTTTGCATTCAGGTAACCATTGATCCCAGGCTGGGAGAATGAGCGTGCTCCACACTGAGAGCTCACACCCTCCCGTATCATCAAGGCCACTCTGAGGATGGTTATAGCCACACTTGCAGGCCTGCAGGAGGCAGGTATAGGCTCTCCACAGCCACACTGGTTATGACAGCCACAGAGGGAAGCCAGATAGGAGCCATTCCTATCATGGACCCACAGCAGACCCAGCACTCCTGTCCATGGGCAAGACTTACTGCTCAGTAGGATGAGAAAGGCAGAAGAGGGCGTGGAGGGAGGTCTGAGAGCAGGAGATAACATCCCATCCCATCTTCAGATGCCAGGAACCCAGCTGTAGCTGCGCAGTTAGGTGAATCAAATACAGCGCCAACTGGTTTGAATTTTGGTGCCAGGTAACAAGGTTTGCATCCTTTGTGGGCAGTGTCGGGTAAACTCTACACACAGAGCTTCTCTTCCCAAGCAAAGCATTGCTCTTTAACATCCAGAGCCTATCACAGGGGACTAACTGACTTCAGACAGTCCCTGCCACTGTGAGAAATGATGAGGGGAAGAAGTAGGTAGGGTTGGTGGATTTGGACCTTGGAAAATTCATGTGGTCTCGCTGTGGCTGGAAGCACAGAAACATCACTAGAGGTAACTGGCTTTGACACACCCCCAGTAAAAAATTCACCTCAAAAATATTTTGTTTGATAAGGATGGAGAGATGGCTTAGTGGTTAAGAGCAGTGGTTATTCTTATAGAGGACCCAGATTTGGTTCCTAGCACCAACATGGCAGTTGACAACCATCCTTAACTCCAGTTCTAGGGGATCCAACATCCTCTTCTGGTCTTCATGGGCACTGCATACACATCAAATAAATTTAAAAAGTCACTAATTGCTGGTCTCAGACTCCAGGGTTCAGGTGATCCTTCCACTTCAGCCTCCTACTTAGTGGGACTACAGGTGTCTGTCACCATGTTTTCAAAGAGGGTTTTAAATGTTCCTATAAGAAGCATACAAAAGGAACTGATACTTTTGTAAGGTCTGTTTCAAACACAGTTGTAAAACCATGAACTGTCTCCAAATTGCTACCAGCACCATGGTGCAGGGTGAGCTATTTCCAAAGTGAAGCTTAAGCGTGTCCTAGAGAAGAGATGGCCCCAGGCAAGTGACGCTCCTGTGTACTGTAGTCAAACGCCTTAAGTCGGTATGGAAAAATTTAACCAGTGCTTGGACAGGCTGTTTCAATAACTGCTATTTATCCAGAATTGTAAGGTGTGCCAACAGTACGCAGGCTTTGTGTGGCTCATTCGGAACTCAGTTCCATGCTGGCTACTCTGTAAACTGTATAAGTGTCTCTCCTTTGTGTGAACAAATACAGAACAGTTACCACTGACATTCCCCTGAACTGGGTCACCTATCTCTATAGCCCATGGTTCTGGAACATTTCAACTAAGCCACTAGTATTCGATCAAATTAACTTTGAAAGCTCAATCATCTTCCCAAAGTTGACAGTAAATTTGCAATTAGAACAAGAGAAAATTTGAACACTTTACATTTAACCTGAAAATCCCTCAAACATTTCTTATCCACTGTGCAAAAAATACCTCTCATTTCTCCACAAAATCTGTTGCCATGGCACTGTGGTACTGACAGTGGCACTGTTAAGGCCTAGGGCCCAGTCATGGTCGGGTACTGAGGCTTCCCTGGCACTGCTTATAGAGAAACACAAAGGATTGCTTCCTATTTCCACCCTCAGGTCTCCACAGAGCAGTTAACCCACCAGGTGTACCAAGTTAGAGATGAAACTAAGCTCCTCTTTCAGGAGAAGTCACCATCCACAACCCCCAGTTCCTTCAGTACTCGCTGCAGACATCCTGACCAAACTGACCCAGAGGGCTGAGGGAGGAGCCCAGTCATTGACCTCACTTCAGCCAGGGGAGCCTCACTCTGATCTCAGGATACACATTTCAACTTGCTGTACCTGGGTAGATCTGTCCAGGAGCAGTACTATGTGGAGCCAGTAGAATGAGGGAACAGGGCTGGGGGCGGAGGACAAGGACATGCTACTCCAGCACTCTGCCCTCTCCTGCCTCCCCCTGCCCATCTCCCATGAGCAGGTGACCAAAAACTTTTCCAGCCTTCCTCCGAAGCACAGCAGGGCACACTTGTTCCAGAGGTGACCTCTGTGGACCTGAATGGATGGAATGTACTTGTCTCTGAATACCAGGAGAATCTGGGCATGCAGGGCCTGCTGCCCCCAGGCTTCCAACAAAGAAACCACACACGCCTGTCCACACAGTATAATGACAGCTTTCCCTGCTCTGTTGGTCCTTGGAAGGCTCCTGCATCCCATCCCACTTGTTTCAAATTTCTTCTTTTCGCTCCCCTTTTGCTATGAAGGTCTCAGCCACGACCTTTGCATTAGTGTCTCCTGCACAAATAAAAGAGACCTGAGGGTCAGGATGGCTTGAGGTAGGTGGGCATGGTCAGTTCCATGATCTAGTATGGGGGATCGACTCAACAGCAAGGGACTTGCTGTTAAGGACTGGTTTCTGCCTGAGAGAGTTCTCTTTCCCAGAAAGTGGCTAGACAATCCCTGGAACTCTTTAAGTTTCACAACGTGTGCAAGTTAATCCAAACTCCAGTTTATGTAGTGAAGAACTTATTCATCATCTGTAACAGGCCCTGGAAGCATGTCCCAAGAGCCAAGGGTGCTCTGCGTCAGTGGGATCCAAGTACAACCCCCTGACCAATATCAGCAACATCCCTAATTCTTATTGGAAATACATTCTGGGGCCAGTAGCAACCTGGTCAAATCAGAAGCAGGGAGGCGAGAGATGGCACTGTCACAGAACCCATCTGAAAGGAATGGGATGTGGGCAAAGGAACCGGATGGAGTTACTCCATGCTCCATCAAGGCATAGGGTTTGGCTGTTTGCTGGCTGCCTTCGGGCTTCAGCCAAGGCAATATCACTCTGGCTCAGTATCCTGACTCCAATGTCCTGTGGCCTTGGCTCAGCCAGCCATGCTGAAGATGGAGCAGAGGTGCAGGGAGCCCTGGGAAGTAAGTGAAGAAGCCTCATTCCCTCTTACACTCCCATACTTCCACCCTTTTCCAGGGTCCTAGGAGGCAAAGGTCAGTTCTAGAACCTTCAGAGGTAGAAGATTTAAAACTGAAGACCATTTCTGAATCATCTGCAATGATTTTGCAGGGCCTGTTCCAGATGATTTTGCACTTGAGGCTATCAAGAGAAAAGCAGTAGGAAAAAGTCAACCAGAGGGTAGAGTAGGGATTCCTGGAGGCCAGGGGCTGAGTGCAAAAGGGGAGGCCAGATTGTTTAGTGCATGCTCTGTGCACAGGTTGACATGTCACATTGATCCCCCTACGTATATACAATTAACATGCCAATTCAAGATAGAATTAGGGAATGTAATTGCAGATACCTGGCTCAGCATGTGTGTGGAACAGGCAGGAGGGACAAATTGACTTAAAAAAGCAATGGAGGCTGGAGATATGGCTTAGCAGGCAAAGGCACCAAGCCTGACGACCCGAGTTCAATCCTAGGACCCACATGGTGGAAGAGGTAGCCGACCTCAACGTGTATACCCTGGCACATATAATGCACACTAAAAAGAAAGGTAATTTTAACAATTGGAGGGAAAAAATGAAGTGAGACTCATCTCCACCACTGTCCTGTACTCTCACTTCATCCCCATGTGCATGGGAAGCTTGCTGGTCCTGACGAATCTCCAAATCCACTAAAAGGCTCAGTTCAAATCCCCACTCCTGGGCACTCCCTCATCCAGCAGGTACCTGCCTTGGCCCACTGACCTCCCAAGCTGCAGGCACACCAACCAAATGCTGTTGTGCTTCATTATGCACACCAGGTTTGGGATTTCTGGAAAAAACTGGTCACACGTGCCAGGTGGTCTGCCTACTGCCCACGTGGAACAGGAGCTCTGAAACAGGAGGTCCTCGATCACACGTGGTACAGAACTAAGCTAATCAAAACCACAGTGTGATGGCATCCTAAAGGGATGTGAACATTTAAACTACTAAGCCATTATTTAGGATCAAAACGCTTTCATGAAAATGTCACACAGAAAACCATATAAATTACATTTAAGGTGATTCTTTTAAAAACATTAACAAATACTGTTTTCTGTACAATATTGCTTCCTTTTGAACATTCTAAACCCAGTTAGCACTTTCCCTTGAATTCCAGAAAAGTAGGCAAAATACACACGCAGTACAATTAAAACACTTCACAAAAATACAAAATCGTGTAGGTTTCCGTAAAGGCACATTCTCTTTAATGTGAGGCGCTCCCATTTGTTTTAGAAGCCCTTCTCTCCTTAGATTCCGGCAGGTGGCACACCCTGCTTGTGCTGGCCTATAGCTGATAAAAAGATCACAAGCAGCAGGGGGCAGTAGAGAGGAAAGGGCGGCCCTCACCCTCTAGCCAGTAGGAGGCTTGCTGAGCACCTCAAACCCAAGATGCCTCTCTGCTGCCCTTTGCAGCCCTGTTTTCCCCCAGTTCTGAATCCTCAGTCGTTAGACACAGGGAGTGAAGACGCAGCCTGTTTCTTTGCACAGCATACTCAGATCACTACCCATCTACCATCAGGATAAAGGCAGGTGGTGGTGAGGTCTCCCTGTCCTGTTCTGAGGAGATCATGCTGCTGGGCCTCCTGCCCAGGTTGGCCTGCTGTCTGAAATGGCCTCCAGCCAAACTGGGGATTGCAATGGCAGCTCTGAGTGCAGAGAGCACAGGAGACAGGTACAGGATTTCACACGGTCTAAGGTTGGCAGGACTGCAACCCAGCCTACCAGTCTCTGGGCTCTGGTGAGCTGCTGTTTGACTTCTCAAAGCTGTCTGAGGCCCCATATGGTAACAGTAGGGTCTTCTCTCCTGATGTTCCAGGCTCTGCATGCTACTCAGGGTTCCAGCTGGACATGGGCCTCATTCATCTGTAGAGTGTCAGTGTCTCCCAGGAGCTCGGTCTCTGGGACAGAGCCTTCCTCCTCCTCCTCTGCTTCCTGCATAGGGCTCTGGGCCACATCTTCTGGGACATTCTGTGCCTCCTCAGTGCCCTCAGACAGTAGGACTGCCCTGTCAGCCACAGATGTGTTGGAGGGTGCTGTGGTAACATAGCCCGTGCTGGTGGAACCGCTGCCACTGTGGTGTGAGCTGGGCTTGGGGACCATCTGAGGTGGTACCTGCTGTGGGGCCATCTGCATGGGGATCTGGACTGGGTAGAAGTTGGGCAGGTAAGCCCCATAGGCTGGCACTGGCTGGTAGCCATTGACAGGGATGTAGAGCTGGGCTGGGGGCACCAGGGGTCTGATCTGGCCTTTCATGGGAATAAACTGAGGCTGTGGGAAGGGTTGGGCCTTCTGCTTAGGTGCCATATAGCGGGTGTTGCTCACATTGCTCACAGGGCTGGTACTCAGGGAGCTGGTCTGTGTGGTGTTACTGGCTCCTGAAGTTTGCGCTGAGCTGTTGTAGTTGGACAGGTTGCCCCAGGCCCGGAGTCGGCTGTGAATGTCCTTAAAGCGGGGCCTCCGGTTGGGGAACTCATTCCAGCATTCGATCATGAGGGCATAGACCCAGGCGGGGCAGTCATCAGGACAGGGCAACACCTGCCGGCCACGGATCATCTCCACCACATCCTGGTTGGAGTACCCACAGTAGGGCTGCAGTCCATAACTGAAGACCTCCCAGAGCACCACGCCATAGGACCAGATGTCAGAGTCGATTGAGAACTTGCCATACATGATTGCCTCAGGTGACATCCAGCGGACAGGCAGCAGCGAATTGCCCATAAGCTTGTAGTAATCAGCAGAATACACCTCACGGAAGAGACCCAAGTCTGAGATCCTCACGTTAAGCTTGTCATACACCAGCACATTGCGTGTGGCCAGGTCCTTGTGGACCACGTGGTGGCTGGATAGATACTCCATGCCCGCAGCAATCTGTGCCACTACATGCACAAAGTCAGGGGGCTCCAGGGCAGACTTCACCGTGCGGTCATCGTCCGTGCTGCCCACATCAGAGTGTGGTGAGCGCATGACCAGAAACTCATGGAGGTCACCGTGTGAGCAGTAACTGAAGATCATGCTCAGGGGCTGGTCCTTGGTCACCATACCCAGTAGGCAGACAATGTTGGGGTGCTGCAGGCGTGCCCGCAGCATAGCCTCCTGCCGGAACTCCTCCCGTAGGGACCCCTCTGCCTTGTCCTTCAGCGTCTTGATGGCCACTACCTGGGTCAGCTCTCCTGGAGCGGACCCAAACAGATGGCCTTTGTAGACTTTCCCAAACCGGTCCTCGCCCAGCTCCTCCATGAACCTCACTGCAGACAAGTTGATCTCTTTGAGTTTTGCCTGCCAAGAAGAAAAGTCAAATGCAATTGTCAGTATACTACGGAATGAGGGTGGCTGGGAGGGCTCTCTGGAGGGTGAAGTCCTTGGGCTACCACCTCTGGTGTAGTGCAGCTGGTCCTGCCTGTCCCAGGCTTGCCCTGCCCCTCAGACTGCCTACCAATCTTAGTTATGGCTCTGATGCTGAGGCTGCCTCTGTCTGAAACCTTTCAGAGTCTCAACCCAGATACATGTTAGGTCTCTCCAAAATATGAACATACTTTTGTGCCCTCCACCTGTAATCTGCACACATGAATATACTGTACATGTATCTACTCACACTCATAGTTGAGCCCCGAGTCTCAGATCTCCAGAGTCATCCCTGGACTCTCCAGAGGTGCTCCTTCTACCTCTCCCAGCATTCCCCACATCATAGCAAGATGCTTTTTTTTCCCATCATGGTGTCTTTCTCATGACTTTTTGTCTGTTGGAGTTTGTTCATTTCATTTCTTCCTTTTTTAAAGAGTTATTTATTTATTTAGTAGAAGGGGCATTCACGTGCCATGGTGGGTTTATGGAGGTCAAAGGACAACTTTCAGGAATTGGTGCTCTCCTTTCAACCAAGTGAGTCTAGGGAATCAAACTCAGGTCTTCAGGCTTGGCAGTAAATGCCTTTACGCACTGAGCCACCTCACCAGCCTGGTTTGTTCTACAGCCTAGAATAGTGTTCTATGGAGTCTCCCTCCATGGGTCAGTCAAGGCACAAGACTATGAGCCTGATGCAGTTTGGGTAGAAATGACACCAAGTGACATGGACGCTGCCTATCTATCCACCCTACCCTGCCAACTCCAGAGAAGCTGCATACTCATCCCCCTTGGCTCGTACTCCAGCCCTGGGGGCCTGTGCCTTCCTCAAAAGCCAACCTGTCCCCTCCCAATGACAAGTATCCAAGACCCCTTGGCTAAAGGGCTAAATAAGCCAACTCTCCCCTGATACTCCAAAAGTCCCTTCAAAGTCACCTAAGAATATGCTCTCAAAGCCAGGGATGAGCTTACGGCAAAGGCCTTGTGAGGCTGACAGGTACTTTGTCATCTGCTGGATCCCAGGGTCCTCTCTCACATCCCTGCCATCTAAGATCACTCAGAGAGGGGCCAGATTTTCAGAGGTGCTACATCTCCTTTTGATTAAAGGGCTGGCATTTCTATCTTTCCGAACCTAATCAGTACAACAATTGAAAAAAAATTTCCCACTCAAAAAATGCCAGGTTAAACTTCAAATGATGGCGCAGTCTGAATTCCCTTTTTCTTTGTCACTCTGAGGGCAAAGCACACAGGAGGAGTGACGACAACTCACTGGACCATGAAGAAGCTTTGGGGCAGGTGAAGGGTCATGTGCACCCAATCTATTTTAGAGAAAAAGGGACAGAAGGACAGTGTGGAAGAGATCTAGAACCTGAGGTCACAGCTCTACCTATCCCTGAGTTCAACCTCGAGAGGCAGGAGGGTCTCTGTGTGCTGGCTGACACACTATCACTGATCTGGGCCCTAGTAGAACCACCTTCTAGGATCCCCAGGAAGACCTGCTTGCACCAGCCGATACCTCATCCCCAAGCTGGGCCCTAGCAGACGTGCCTCACTACAATATGGTCAGGAGAAACTGTTTGTACCAGTTGACACCTCATCCTTGGGCTAGGCCCTAGCAAAGCTGACTTCTAGGAAGCAGGCAGGAGGACCTGTTTGTGCTGGCTGATGAGTGGCATCTCCATGTCCTGGCTGGGTGAAACCATCAGCTGCCGGCGCTGTGGGGTGGAGGCCGAGGCCTTCTGCTTGTTACGGCACATGCAGACCAGGAAGAAAAGGCAGGCGATGACTAGGGGGATGGCAATGCTGGGAACCAGGATGTATAGAATCCCCATCTTGCTGCCGTCTCGGGGACCTGGGAACAAGTGGGGGATTTCATCAGTTTTCAGAAAATCCCTACTTTCCACTTCATGCTCTCCTCCTGGCCACTGTCCCACCTCCAATCAAGCAAATTACACAAAGGCTCCTCAGAGGGGTGGGCATGTGGGCTAGCCCCAAAGGGGGAAGGGTTTCCAAGCAGATTTGGAGTCTCAGTTTGCTCACAGAGCACCCTCTCCTTATCTGCTGCTTTCCAGTCATCCAAATCACTGTCTCAAGGTTCCCTCTAAGACTTGGTAACTGACCAATGGGGACAGGTGAATCCTGCAAGACTGAAGCTTAGAAAGGGATTACTGACATCCTTGGACACAGGACAGAACCCACGCCATCTCCTCCTGTTAGTGATGTAACAGGAACTGCAGGGAATGTTGAGAGACCCGAAGTCTGTATTTTGTCCTTATTCACCAAACCTACGTGTGTGAGCTGAGAAATGATGAAAAGCTCAAAAGCTGGGTGAGGGAGAAGCATTTCTACTAAGATGCAGTCATGTTAACTCAGGAAACAAGAGGCCAAGCTGAAAGTCCTGGGACTACATCCACAGGGAACGGTGGAGGGAAGGCTCTAGAATTCACACAGCAGTCACTAATGGGTGGTGATATTGGGGCTGACTTGCAGTGTTCTTCAGACTTTTCATATTTTAAGACATACTATAATGACCTGATGTCAGTTTTAGAATCAACAGAAGCTGTATTTAAAACAAATGATCATGATAGTTAAGATGGGATACCAGGGTCCCCACTGTCCCTGGCAAGACACAGCACTCTCATCACAGGCAAATACAACATTTTTTTCAAAAAAAAAAGAGAGAGAGAGAATACATACTACACGGGGGTACGTCACACAGTTCCATGCGTACGTTTTTATTCTGCGTAAAGCACCATGGGCCTTCCATCTGGCCCCCGGGGTTCCGGCAGTAGGCGTGGCCCCCTCCCAGCTCGGGGAAGTCTGTGCTGGACAGGTGATGACTATGAGGGTGCTGTAGGATCCATGGCTGACACTGGTGGCCTGACTTGGTGGTACTGGCCATGCCCCTGTAATCTGAGCCCGAGCCGTTGTAGCACTGGTGGTCTATGAGAAACAGAGTTAGGGACCTAAGAGTCCAGGACACAGCCTGCCCATTGTGCAAAGCACCCCCCGCCCCCGCCCTAGAGAAGCAGCACCAGGAAGGGCTTAACAAAGTCTCAAGCTCACATGGAGGGTTTAACAGGGACACATTTGGGAAAGAAACCTGGTACAGTTGTTCCAGTCCTAAAACCACATCTAGGAACCACCAGGCACCCATAACCCCACTGCCCAGGACAGGATGAGGATGCAGACAACAGCTCTCCTGTTCTGGAAACAAAATGGAACTGCTTAAGCACCTAGGGGTAAATCCTCCCCTGCAACCTCAGGGGCCACCTTCACCACCCAGTGGGAGCCCCACTTGGCCACATGTGAGAATGCACATCACCTCACCTCCACGGAGGAGCTAGAGCCCAGGATGTCTGTTTAGCATTCACCTGGTGTTTACTTTAAGTGTTATCCTAAGATGGGTCTAATTCTTAACTCAGTCTTCACGCCATTCTATCAGCTGAGCCCCTTTAGTATCCTCAAGGTAAAGGAGAACGCAGGAGTTTGAGCCACTTGCTCAGGGTCACAGCACAGACCCTGCAGCCAAGGAGTGGCTGTTCATACTAGGACCAAGCCCTGGCTGCCCTGGTAAGGAGCCCACAAACTTCTGGAACTCTCAAAAAACCACAGAAGGTAAATATAGGCCTGAAGCTTGCAAGAAAGAGGCCCCTCCACACCTGTGCTGGCCTGGGTCTCCCCAACTGCGCTGGGCAGCAAGTCTGAAGTCTTCAGTAATCTGAGACTTTCCTCACAGATCCTGACAGAAGTGTTCTGGACTTTCTATGACTAGCCTCTGTTCCTCCTGTCAGGGCTCATGGTACTGACTGAAACTTCCAGAGCACAGGGACTAAGGAGCTTCTAGAGAGGGCAGAGAGCAAGCCTTCTGCCCTGTGCAGACCCAAGTGGGCCACTCTCAGGCCTCAGGCTCAAGAGAAAGGAGTATCCCTTATCTCTAAGGTCAGAAGTTCCAGGGGCAGGTTCTGAGGAAGACCGGGTACATTCCCTTTTCCAGGGACACAGACTTAGGGAATTTCTGAACTCCTGAATGCATGCCTGAATCTTAGAGTTGTTCAACATGAGGAATCCTTGGGGTTTGAGGGTCTGAGGCAAGGACCGCGCGCTCCTGGAAGCTGGAGATCATGGAACAAGCTGGGAGGTTGGTCTGGTCTCCTCAGTGCTCTCAACAGCTGTTCTCACTCTCAGGCTCAAGGAGGGTGAACAGAGAAGGCAGGGCAGGCCCTGGGAATGTCTGGGCCGTAGTCTCTGACTGCCAACTCAGCCCTGCTTAGCATGAGAGAAGAGCCTTAAGAAGCACAGAGGTGTGTTTCAGGGTCCTGCTCAGTCCTGCACCTGCCAGGGGTCCCAGGACACTCACAGCGGCCCAGCCTCTCGGCTGGGATTCCGATGCGCATGCAGTTGGCAGCATCTGGGCTCTCGGGCATGGGCAACGCTTCACATTTGGGCAGCTGGAGCCGCATGAGGATGAGCGGGTTGGAGCGGGCGATGGTGTACTCCTGGCGGCACAGGTCACTCTCCAGCACTTCGCACTCATCTCGGCACAGCTCCCGAGGCTTGGGTGCCCGGGAGCGGGCATCGCACAGAGGAAAGACGAAGTGGCAGAAGGATGGGATGGCAAACTGTGAGCACTGGTCAGACAGGTGCGTAGAGGTGCCGATCATCGTGAAGGCAGCTGCAGAGGAGCGATCACCGTGAGTGGTATATCTGCTCAGCCCCACCCCTACCCAAGAAGTCCAGCCCCAGTCAGCCCCCTACCCTGGGTCTCTCTCTAATATGACCCATCCCTCAGTTTGCCCTTACTAAAGATACCAGGCCTTCAAGCCCCTACCCTGGGTCTCTGGTCCACCCCGCCCACCTCAGCTCCATCTCTATTGTACTGGTTGGTTTTGTCAACTTGATACAAATTAAAGTCACCTGAGAAGAAATCTCAATTGAGGAAATTCCTCCATCAGACTGGCCGGTGGTCATGTCTGTGAGACTTTCTTTTTTGGTTGTTGAGTGATATGGGAGGCCCCAGTCCACTGTGGGTGGGGTCATCTCTGGGCAGGTGCTCCTGGGTTGTATAAAAATGTAGGCTGGGCACAGGCCAAGGGAGCAAGCTAGTAAGCAGCATTTCTACATGGTCTCTACTTCAGTTCCTGCCTCTAGATTCATGCCTTGAGCTCCTGTCCTGGCTTTCCCTCCTTGATGGACTCTAAGCTAGAAGATGAAATAAACCCTTTCCTTCCTGAGTTGATAATGGTTATTCTTTTATTACAGTCATAGAAAGTAACTAGAACAGCCCCAATCCCTTACTCTGAGCCTCCAACCCCTGACCTGTATACCCATCTTAAACACTATGCCTCACTCCCCCATTCCCTGTTCCAGACCCAGCCCCACTCAGAAACTCTTCCCCACACCCTGTGTCCTCACTTTAGATACCCAACCCAGGAGCCCAAGTACTCACTCCTAGCCCCCCAACCTCAGTACCCCAAATGGCCTGGTCTACAACCCTAATTCCTTACCTCTTACTCTTGTGGTAGCCACTGAGCCCTGGACACCCTGTCCTTGCACCTCACCCCAACCCTGGAGACCTTGCCTCACCCCACCCGACACTCAACTCTAGAATCTATCTCCTGAGGATCTAGGATGAGTGGGGGTCCTGAAGCATGGGGCTGCACAGAACCCGAAGTCTTAGGACTCTAGAATATAGCAGGGGAAGAGGCAGGGCCCTGAGTTCTGTCTTCTGGCATACCATGTCCACCCTGAGAGGTCTAGGCAGGGAGAACCCCCACAGTACAAGAAAGGTGTCCACAAAAGGAGAAATCTCAGCTCTGTGAAGTGCACTGCACAAGAGAAGACACAGATGATCTAAGAGATGTGTGTGGAGGGCTGAGAAAGTCGGAGGGGAACACTGGGTATCCAGGAAGGAACAGAGAGCTAAAGAAGTCAGGACCTTTTGCCTACACACCTGTGATTCGGTTTTCAATCTCCCCCTGCATCTGGAGAGAGTCCACGTAAATAGTCCGGTTTCCGATAAAGCGCGCACAGGCAATCCCCCGGTAAGGCTGACAGAAGCCGTCCTCCTGGTAGTCATCCCTGAAAAAACAAACTCCATGTGTGACTGCAGAGGCCAAATATTCCCTGAGATGCTTTCATCCAGCATTTTATAAACCATCAATTTACGTTTATTTGCTTTGATTGACTGACTGATTGATTCATCATCTTTGAGACGGCCTTTCTGTTTAGTCCAGGCTAATCTTGATTTACTACGTGGTCCTGGTTGGCCTTGAATGCTGAGATCCTCCTGTCTCAGCTTCCCAAGTGCTGAGATTATACCATTCTACCCAGCAAGCTGGCAATTTTGTTACTTGGTCAAAAACATGTCTGCATGAAAACCTGCACACAGATGTTTATACTAACTTTGATCTTAATTACTAGAACCTGGAAGCAACCAAATGTGCTTCAGAAGGTAAACAGATAACAAAGAGGAACACACACAACAGAGTATTATTCGGGAAGTGAAATGAGCCATCTGAAAAGGCTTGGCACCATGTCGCTCCAACTCTGTGACATTTTGGAAAAGTGCAGAGCTAACACGTAGATCCCAGGATGCCAGGTGCTGATGGGGTACTAATGGGGAAGGAGACTGAGTGGGAGGCGTTCACAGGATTTTAAGGGCTGGAAACTTCTTTGAAGGATGCCATCATGGTAGGTACATCGATCTAAACCCATAGGAAGGGAAAACCAAAACTGAACTGTAATGTAGACTGCCCAGTTCAGTTCATGAACTGAATACCGACCCTGTCAATGATCATGCATTAAGGGGAGACCTTACAGAGGTTAAACAGGAGGACAGGCAGAAACTCTTCTATGGAGGTTTGCTGTCAGGTAAGCCTGACAGCTGTTTAAAAGCTTACTAACCATTTAAAAAAAAAACAAAAAACAAAAAACCTGGGCTCTACAGGAGTATAAAACCTGGAAGGGTGAAGATGGGTTGATGAGACAATATATACACGGACATGCAAGTGTTTCATATGCATGTACACATGTAGAACATCCAACATCTCATCCTTGATCTACATCAGGGACAGTAACATGCCCCTGCACACTGCCCTTATTTTCAAACAGGGCTTTTATGACTAGTGATACTCCATGAGGTATGTCCCAGCTGAACTGTAGAGGGGCAGTCTTTGAGGAGAAAGGCACACATAAACCTCTGTTGTATCCATAACACCGGGATTCCTTAAAGTCTGTCCCTGAGGGACTTGGTAAGATAGACTCCACCCATGACACGCCAAGGTGTGGCCTTATCTCTGCAGCATGGATGGTGTGGATGATGCACAACTCACAGAGGAAGTCTGGGGGGCTCAGGACAGCAAGCTGCTCTCCTTTCTCCTACAGCCCAGCTCCCCTAGTACCACTGGGGAAAGGGACAGGCTTGCAAACCTCCAGAGCTGAGATTCTGCTAAGTTCTTTTCTCAGAGCCTGTCAGCTAAGTCCTTCTGTAAGAACCCAGTAGCTCTATCACTAACTTGCCTTGTTGCTCTGACAAACTCTCTGACAAGAGCAATTTTAAAAAGGAAGCGTTTATTTTGGATCATGGTTTAAGGGAGCTCATCTCACTGTGTCGGCAGTTGGGATGAAGAGAGCCGCATGCTGGTATATACCCAGCTCACTTCTATCTTTTTATTCGGACCTGGACTCCAGTCCACGGGATGGTGCTGCCCACATTCAAGGTGGATCTTCCCACTTCAGTTAAGCATTTCTAGAAACCCTCTTGTAGATACACCCAGAAGTGTGTTTCTATGGTGATTATAAATCCTTTCAAGTTGACAACAAGGAACAGTCATCTCAGTGGCCGGCAGGGTCCTGGAAGGAGGCAAGACCAGTGGAGCACAGCAGAACGTTGGAGTTTCTGCCTGAGAGGGCAAAGCAGAGGAGCAGGGGCCGGGCCAGCCTGCGATGAGTCTCCAACCTCTATGTCAGGCACTGCTTCACCAGCAGATCTGGAACTGCCATGCTTGTCTTCCCACCTATGTGGATGGAGACCATACTCACACGAACCCTGAGTTAACTTCATTTTAATCAAATGCACCTGAACCCTGAGTGGGCACGAAGGCCCAGCTGAACACTGGATTTAGACACAGGGTCTGAGAAAAAAAGCTTTACTTGAAGGGAATACTTAGGGCCATCAATAACCCTCAAGAGGAGGTGTGAGGTCAGCATGGGTAGGAGGCCCTGTTCTTTAGTTCTGGGAGATAGCAGCAAGAGCTGGAGCTAATGACTGAGCTGACTCTGGCCACAAACACCCAAATAAACATAAGTCACCGCCCCACACTGGCCATTGGGTCTATGGTGTTTATCATTATGCCAGAAAAATCACTAGGGCATGCATGGCAGGATTAACATCAGCTTTGCTTAGAGATCCTGCCCAGCCACTTGGGGTGACACCATGGGGGGGGGTCCTTTTCCCCACTAGAGCCAAGGAGGAGAAGACTGAGCCCTAGTGGAGAGTATGTTGGAGGCTCAGGGCTGGAGTAAGGGGCTACTGGAAGGAGCTCACACCTTTATCTTGGTCACAGCACACACTGCTCCATGGGTTGCAAGCCTGAGACAGAGAACGTGCAAAACACTAAACAGAAGTAGCAGGAAAACAACTCTTTTGAATGACTCTTGAATGTTGAAAAAAACCAATGAATCACCTGTTATTAAATAGAACTGTGATTTTCTTTATCCAGCAGAGCTTGGAAACTCTGAAAATTAACAGAGCTAGAGAAAAATCTATATAACTAGTCACTTGGGGACCCAAGAAAAAGGCATCAGTCGAATTCCTCAAAGAGTGTAAGTGAAAGGAATGTGCTTACCATACGAGGACTCCTCAGAAGTGTGGAAAGCCTGCCTGAACTTCCCTCAACCCATTGCTGATGCCAGGCACAGACTGGAGCCTATCCCCGCTGGAAGGAGAAACAGCCACCCAGAGAATATACTGTCAAGGAGGGAGACAGACAGGCTAGAACTGCCGGCAAGAGGAGACCGCAACCTGGTAAAGAACAGTAAGTGTGCAACTAAAGAAACTGAGTGCTGGAGAGATGGCTCAGTGGTTAAGAGCACTGGCTGCTTTTGCAGAGGACCAAGGTTTGGTTCCCAGCACCCAAGTGGCAGCTAACAACCACCTGTAATTCCAGTTCCAGGAGATCCACCACTCATTTTTGGCTTTCATGGGCACTGTACAACATGGGTGCACTAACATGGAGGCAAAAATTTCAAACACACACACACACACACACACACACACACACACACACACACAGTCACAAATGAATAAATACATAGAAACGAGAATTTAAATGGCTGCTCACCACTGTGTACTCTAGGACAACTGACCCATTGGCTTCAGCAACTCTCCTGTACCAATTCCCATCTCCCCCCAAAGAGTACAAATGCACACACTACCATGCTAGGCTTTTATGTGGGATTTGAAACCAGGTCCTCCTGCTTTGCACAGCAAGGATTTTTACCCACTGAGCCATCTCCGCAGCCCAGGGGTTACATTTCCTGTTATAGGTGCCTCTGAGTTTTAAAAACAAGCTGATCTCCCTCCTCTTTCAAGCTCTCTGAGTGGAATTTGCTAAGACTGGAGGTCTCAGCTTTGACATCAAATGCTAAAATTGGTCTTTTTCTGAGAATGTTTCATTACAAAAAAGCAGCCTGGCTTCTCCTGAAGTCATTTTTAATTACTGTCTGCCAGTGGCAGTTTCAATTGTTTGGGTCTTGTTATTTTCCTGTAGTTAGGATGAAGTTTTTAGTAGACTTAAGACATTTCCCCAAAAGAGCAATGGAGGAGCCAGAGGACAGACAAGGGCCCCTTGCTTAGACAGGCTGGAGCACCTGCAAGCCAGGCACAGGGAGAAGATGCTCATTCTGTGGTTGAGATCACAGTTCACAGGCACACACTTGTGCACCCAGAGGTTGGTCAGGGACAAGAGAGGAAGGATGGGGCTCTGATGCTGAGGCTTCAGGGATCACCCCACCTTGCCAGGCTGCCGCCCTGCTCCAGGCGGCAGTAGGGGGTATGGGCCATTCATAGAGAACATTAGCCACTTTTAAGTTAAAAACATCGGAAACAAAGCCAAACCCACATAGAAAATGTCAGGCACACAGCCCAGTATCAACCCCCTGGGCATTCACCCAAATGTTACCTGAATGAGCCTAGAAGAAAGGGAGGCACCACCCTTTCTTAGATCTTTTGTTCTCCATACACACCCTCCTCACCACCAACTGAATGTGGATGGAAAGAGAAACATTGTTTTGATGGTAGTAAATCCCTTAACCACCCAGAACATCTACCCACCTCCCATCATACACCCATAGAAACCACAGGTTGCCAGTACCCACATGTGTGGACTTCTGAGGGCAGCAGGCAGGGAGGGAGCATGTGACAGCCAGTGGAGTTCCTGTGTGAGAACAAACAAAAGCACCCGTAGCCTTCACACTGCTCAAGAATGAACCCTGCCAGCCTCCTTTCTCAGTCACTGGCCCAACTCTGCACGCACATGCTCAGGATGCACCCATTGACCAAGGACAGCCAGGAAGACTGTGTATCTGCCAAGGAGATGGACCCATGTAGGAGAAACTGAACAGGACAGACTGGCCACTCCAGAAGCACACAGAAAATCGAGGGATTGTCTAAATTTGCCATTTTCCCTTTTGGTCTTCATTTTGATGAACTTCCAGAGATATCACCAGGCCACCATTATGAAAGCCAACCTATGAGTCGTGATCAAAATCAACAGGAAAAATAAGGTCACTGCCACAGAAAGGGGATGAAATCAGACTGTCATCTGTCCCCTTGTGACAGTCATCTGTCCTCATGTGTGACAATCATCTGTGAGGGAGAAGCAGAGTGGTCACCCAAGGCTGGGGATAAGCAGCTTGAGGGAATGTGGGTCAAGGCTTGAAAGGTCAGTTAGGCTTGTGTGATAAGCTCAAGCCATCTCCTGTGCCATGGGGTAAAGGGAGTTACTAGCAATGTATTACACAATTGAGAATTACTAAGAGTAGATTTTAAATGTTCTCATCACAAAAAACAGCAATTA